CCCAAAACCCCAAAACCCCAAAACCCCAAAACCCCAAAATATTTTGGGTTCAAATAACTATTTTCCAAATATGGATTCAGACATCAGAAACTACATCGAGAAGGAAGGGGAAATCTACGTTGAAGACTTCATGACTGAAGAAGACGACAGTATCGTCGAACCATCCCAGATGGGCGAGGAAGGGATTGGGATCGAAACTATTCTCAAAAAGCTAGTCATCACTAGAGACAAGTTCATCCTCCAGAGGCCTGGTAGCATCAACGAGGACTACGTCATCGAACGCAAGATTGGAAAGGGAGCGAATGGGGATGTATATCACGCTATTAATAAGATAACTAATATTGAGAGAGCGATTAAGAAAATCCCGAAGTCTAAGATTAGTAATATTGAGTACTTCTTAAGAGAAGTAAACACTTTGAAACAGCTTGACCACCCCAATGTCATTAAGCTGTTTGAAATCTACGAGAGTGCCAACGATGTCTACCTCGTCCAGGAGCTGTGCACTGGAGGTGAGCTGCTCGATCAGATCTTAAATGAGAACGGTCTGAGTGAGAATAAAGCAGCGATTATCTTCAAGCAGATCTTGCAGGCTATATTGTACTGAAACTCCAACAAAATATCGCACCGGGACCTCAAACCGGAAAACTTCATGTTCGCATCAAATAAGGAAGGGGCTGTACTGAAGCTCATTGATTTCGGAGTGGCCAGGAGCTACTACAAAAAGGAAGTACTGGCTTTTAACCAGGTCATTAGGATGAAAACCAGAGCTGGGACAACCTACTTCATGGCTCCAGAAGTCATCTTAAATAATTACACAGAGTCATGAGATATGTGGTCAGCAGGAGTCATCCTCTATATCATCCTCAGTGGAGTACCACCCTTTGGAGGAGAGACCGACCAGGAGGTCCTTGAAAACATCCTCAGAGGTGAATACGATTTTGATGATGAAATCTGGGATGAAATCAGCGAAGAAGCCAAAGATCTAATCGAAAAACTGCTTGTTGCCGAGGAAGAGCGACTGACTCCAAAGCAAGCTCTTGAACATTCCTGGATTGCAGGGTATTCTAGGCTTGATTCAGCCGTTTTATTGAGTCATAAGCATACTGAGAGGCTAAGAAACTTCCAAAAGTCCAAGAAGCTCAAGAAGGCAGTTCTTACTTACCTAGCAAGTAGGGTTTCGGATGAGGATATCATTAACGAAATGAAGATCTTTTTCAAGCTTGATAGGAACAAGGATGGCTACATTACGCTAAAAGAGCTCAAAGAGGGTATGAAAAGTACCCCTAATATCGAAGAAATTGCGGATATTCTCAAAGGTGTGGACATTGACAAGAACGGCGTGATTAACTACACAGAGTTCATAGCTGCCACGCTCGACCAGAAGGGCTTGATGACTTCTGAATCTTTGATAAAAGATGCCTTCCAGCTGTTTGATAAGAATAATGATGGTTCTATTGACCAGAACGAGCTCAGGTCTACCCTCGCTGGTGTTGAAGGTGAGCTCATTGATGTAGAAGTCTGGGAAGACATCCTCAAGGAATGCGACCTTGACGGTGATGGAAAGGTCAGTTTTGATGAATTCGTACATATGATGACCAATTGATAACTACTCTTCTCAATTATAAGCTATCTTAGAGGGGTTTTGGGGTTTTGGGGTTTTGGGGTTTTGGGG